CCAGATGGAGCTAAAAAAAACAATGAAGCAGGAAGGGAAGAGTGTGTGTGGGGTGAGCGAGGTGGTGGGAGCATGGCTGGCGTTCCCTCAAGAAGGCATTGGGGCTGCAGGCAGCTGGGCTCCCTCCTGCCTGCACTGGTCTGGTCACAGAGGTGGCCCCAGAGCAGCTCATGCTGCTGCAGCCATGGAGATGGGATGTGGGGACACGGGCAGAGCTCATGCTGCCCACAGCAGCTTTCCCTTCCTCCTACAAAGCCCATCCGGTGCTTGGGTTTGCCCATCAGCACATTCTGCTGGGCTTTGGCATTTCTCTGAGCAATTTCCTGGCTTTCTAAAAGCAGACTGTTTTTCTAGAAGTTGTGGGGGAGCCCAGGTTTTCTCACCTTCTCCCAGGATCTCAGCCTGGGTTGGGCACCCCAACTCCCCTCCCCAAAACTGAGGCCACTGTGAGGAGCAGGCTCTTCCCAGAACCCATCCCATGAAGGCAGAGCTGCCAGGGCCCCAGTCCTCTCCAAACCCCTCTGACATGGGCACTGCAAACTCTGTTGTTAAAGGCATTTGTTTGCTCTGGTTTCAGCCTGGCATGTGCCCCCATTTGCGGCCTCAACTTGACCGAGTGGCATTTGCAAACAGCATCAGGCTGAAGCCACGTGTTCCAGCTGCAGTCTGCTTCTATTTTTAAGGTCCCACATTGGCCTGTGAAGGGGGGAGGGGGAAGCAAAGCTGTTGGAGGGGAAAAATAAAAAAAAATAAATTAAAAAAAAATAAATTCAAAATTCCCCAAGCAGCAGGAGGCAGGGAATAAAAGGAAATATTTAACTATTTCTCATGCTGGGGCTGCTGTGAAAGCTGCTCAGGCACCGTGGGGTGGCATCAGGGCTGCTGCAAGGGCCGAGAGCCAGCAGAAAGTACCAGCTCATTTTAATTCTTTTCCCCCAAATCTGTGAGTTAATCATCAGACAAAACACACTGTCTGGTCAAGCAGCACGAGGGCAGAGGAGGGGATGTCTGTCCCCCAGGGGTTGGTGCCACAGGAGGCGGGTGCTTGCCCAGCAAAGAAAGAAGGGGATGCTTAGGGAGGGGGTTGATATGAAGAGCCCTTTGGTTGCCCAGTGAACCCCTTGCTGGACCACCACAGCGGGCAGCACAATGACACAGCACACTGGAAATTAGCTGGAAACTGCAGTGGGGGTGGAAAGAGCACGAAAATAAACGGGCTGGGCTGTCAGATGCTTTTTCTAAACACGACTGAGAGCCACCATGGGGCAAGAAAAGCCCCACAAATACCAAGCACCCAGAACAGCTGAGGTGCTGCCTTTGCTCCCCAACCATGTCACAGAGCTCTCCCTGCTCCTTAACCCCCAGCAGAGTAGCAGACTTTACTGGCATTCAGAAAAATTCCCTTTAATTCAGCAGAGCTTTTTCAAGGAGTTTTTCCCTGCTGGGCAGCAACCAGTGGCATCAGGGCAGCCACTCACTGAAGCCATCCCTGCTGTGAACCCAACCCACCTTGCAGCAGTGTGGGAATGAGCTTAACCTCCACGCAGTGTCCAGACATGGGATGGAGGAGCATTGATGTGCTGGTGGCATCGCAGATCACCCAGAGCTGGGCCAGGCTGGGGAAAGTGCCCAGCTGAAAACCAGGACTGCAGGATTGGTGCCTTTGCTCTGCCACAGCCTCCCCCCCTGTGCCTGGGGACAGTTGCTGGGTTTGACCCTCCACAATCATAAGACCAACAAGCAAATACAGCAATATTGACTTTACCTTTGTGTGTCCACACTTCAATCTGCAGCCCCTGGGGTGCCAAGGCTTTCCCTGAACCTGCCTGGGCTGGTTTCCTGGGAGCACAGGGGCTGTGCAGGGGGGAAGGTGCCTGTCCCAGTGCTGATGGCAGGAGCATTGCCTCTGTGCCACGGGCCAGGCGGGGGGATCTGGGGACATGGGTCACCCAACGTCCCCATGCCAAGGGGGCACACAGCCCCAAGGGCAGCTCGGCCTGTTTTGCAGCCCCAGGAGCTGTGTGTGGAGATCGATGTCCTGGAGCAACCCAGAGCTGCCTCTTCTGCAGCTGGCTGCTCATCCCTGCTGCTTAATGAGTAAGCTCCAGCTTGATAACCAACATCAGAGGCTGGGGGAAGGAATGAGCCCTACTGCATGAAGAGCTTGTGCCAGGCTGGGATACAAGCTCTCTCCAAACCCTAAAATGCCTAAAGCATCACCCCCAAAAATACCGTTTCCCACTGCTGGTCCCAAACTGCAGGTTTTTAATGCAAACCCTCAGCGTGGAGACCCACAGCCCTCTGCCCTCAAGTATTAATTTGGTAGAGGCAATAAATGACTAACATTACAGTGCAGCAAATAAACCACCTTTGTGGACACACTGTGAGGCACCTGCGTCTCCCCAGGCTGCTGTTCTGACACTTGAAGAGTGGGTACACTTTGCTTTTCTCAGCCTCACTTCTATCCCAGACAGGAAGCAATTTTCTGGGAAGTTTCTGTTTTCCCCTTGGGTGGTTCCAGCACCACCTCTGCTCTCCGGGGCTCCTAGGGCCGGTTGGTGCATCAGCACCTGTGTCTGTTACACTCAAATAGGGGGGCATTTTGGTGTGAGTGGTACTTACACCTTGCTGCAAGTTTTTCCCCTCTAAAACACAGGACGCACGCCAAGAACTGATACAGCCCTGCCAGCTCGGAATCCCTCCAAGTCCATATTTATTGATTTCTTCATTTATATGATAATTACAAAGTCCCCCCCTCCCATCAATGCTGAACACAGAGCCCAACGCTGCGCACACGTGGCCCGCGCAGACCCCGCCCCTCGGGAGGGAAAAGGGGCGTGTCCGGCCTCTCCCCCTATTCCGATTGGCTGGGAGCGCGCGTGGGCGTGGCCAGAGGGGATATAAGGCGGCGCGGCGCAGGGCGG